GTATGAATATAATATACAAGTTTCACTTTTTAAATGGAATTACTGAAATAAATCTACTTTTTCATGATATTCTAATTTTATGACCAGCACCTGTATTTGTTTACTTTTTTGAATGGAAAATTTATTTTCCTGTGTAAATTTTTGGAGAATGCAGCTTAGTCAACACACGCTAACATGATTCTTGTTTGTGTCCAGGTACCCTCATCTTTGTGAAGATGAAAGAAGGGCTGTGGTGCCGTTCCAGAGTGTCTGAAGAAATGTTTCAGAAAGGCTCCACGAAGGCTGTGAAAGTGTGTCCAGTCACAGAGCTGACCAGTTTGAGAGTGTTCTGCCTAGATTATGGGTTCACCAGACACATCACATTACCAAAGTACGAACTAATGTTATAATGGGAAATGGGAAAAAAATCATATTCTTGTTTATGCCCTTTATCTTAACTTTCAATTGGTTATAAAAGTATCCAACCTTTGATGTTTCAATTTTGTTGTCTTAAAACCAGGTTTTTAAACAGATAATACATTTTATTTTTATGGATTTACACAGAAGAATCCAGATTAATGAAAAGAAAGGGATGAGATTTGTTTACAATGATTCTGAAACTATGAAACTGGGAAAGTGACGCTTGTATTCAATTCCTTTACTTGAAAGCCACATAACGTGTTGGTGATTTAAAGCAAAGACCTGTTCTGATAGCTCCTAAGATTAACAGCAGTTAACCTGTTAGAGGTAAAAACAAGAGACATGAAGACCAAGGAACTCTCCACACAGCTCAGACTAAGTTGTGGAGATGTACAGATGAAGGTTTTATTGTAAAATAATAATAATAATCCAAACACTGAACATCCCAGAGAACACAAACAAACGTTATTACAAAATTAAGATTATGCCACTCAAGGACTTGACGTTAATCAGTAGCAGCCAACAGGTAAAAAAATAATTATTTTGGAGTTGACAGCTCTTCAGCAGAGATGAGTATCTGTTCATAGGAACACTAAGCTGCCCAGAGCTGGACTTTACAGAAAGATCTGGAAAAAGCAATTAAGAAAGAAAATAAAAGTTTTAAATTTGTCAAAGGGCATGTTAAACTCCATAAACATGAAAAAATCTGTTGTGATCCAATTAAACTAAAATTAAACTTTTTGGCATCAAGGTAGTCACCTGGGGTCAGATTTATAAAGGATATTGTGTGGAAACCATACTAAAAATGAACGTACGGCCAAAAGGCAAAAATGGCGTACACGTTTCTGCGCGTCTTTCCTTTTTAGATTACAGCAGCACGTTAGAGTTTGCGCACAAGGTCCTGCCTCAGGTTCTACCCTCTACACGCCCACACTCTACCATAAACAGTCAATGCAAAGTACCTCGTGAATGTTAAGGTGTATTTAAATCAGTCAGCTGATCAGTGATTGGTTCAGACACGCTCCGTCATGTGTCTGGAGGAGGACAGGTGCTGACAACTGCTCACGTGAACAGAATGTCTGTAATTGACACAGATTTTTACTCATTTTGCAGGTTTATAGTCGTTTAAAGCATTCTTTTTTAATCAAAAACTCAACTTCGAATAAATTTTCTCTCAGAGCCTGCAGGACGATAAAAACAAATAAATAAGATAAAGTTAAGTTCACCGTTCTTCTCCCCCATCCTCCCCCTCCCTTCTCTGTTATCTGCAACAG